GTGCCACTATTTACATAACACTCGTAATAAGCGCCACGTTTCGAGTTTAACCATCACTTTGGGAAATTATATTAACCAAATACCGCGGTCGTTATGCACGCAGGAAATATATTACTTCAGGACCCCTTCGAAGGTCCGCTCGATGGAACGTGGAAAGGGAGGAAATGGTTCTCTTCTCCCGCGTTTGTTGTTCGTAGGGACCCACCGCATCTCGAAATTCTTTATGATTCCTATATTCAATCTCTTTATCGCCCCTTTTTGACTCGGGAATTCCACTCTTGGACCCTGTATATAATATATATTATATATAGTTATGCGATGCAGGGACATTCTCTTCCAAATTTTCCGAAAAAGAGGAAAATTTAATAAATATAACTTAATCACTTTTGGAAAAAAGTTTGGAAAAATTTGTCAACATTAATTTGAAAGAAAAATAAATCACAAATCATTTTTAACAAGTCAATTAAAAAGCAAAAATTAAACATAATAATAAATGTTATAAAATTCTCGAAAATAGTATTTTATTGATTAGAATCTTATGAAATAAGCGTAATTAAAGCACAATTATGCATATAATCTTCACAATCCAGTTTGAATCAAATAATAATTGTAACAGAAACTCTAGGATTCTCTCTCTCATATGAATAGTGATTCGAATAATATCGTATGCTCCTTTATACGCATCCCTCCTCTCCTTCCCAAGGGAGGATGTCATAGTGGTTGAATATGAATCATGCGATGTTCAGTATTGTTTTCGCGATAAATTTCGCCAATGTGTACAAAGTTATCCCGCATAAATTGCATTCTGGTGTCCGATTCGAAACAAGTGGGGCGAAGGGAACGGAGCTTGGTTGGCCCCTTGCCGGTTCTCTTTCTCCCGCCTCTCGCGGACGCGAAATAAATTGGCCTTTATATTACCGCGAGCCGCGGCATAAATCCCGCGTGCTCATTGTATCGACCCCCGTGGGTGGACGACGCCGTGCGCACGTGGGCAAAATCCGCTTCCCTCGCGGTCGTCGCAAAAGTAGCGCGCGATCGCGCGGGAGGAGGAAACGCGGAAGAAAAGAGGTGTGCATTTACCTAACGCGGCAGTTGTGTTTACAGATTGTTGTAATTACTGCACCGCGCGATTTGGCGAAATACGCCAGTAAACCAGTATCATGAAATACAATGCGGTAATTTGTACACTGATTTCAAACTTGTGCGGAAAGAAATCTGGACTGTGGAATAGAATTTCTGTTGAAAAACATATGTTTTCTAAATCTAAATCTATTATTTTTTAAGATATATTATATTTTCATATTTTCTAGCAGTTTAAATTTCAGAAAAATAATATGACAACATTTATCAATTAGACAAATGTTTATTTATATAAAACAAAAATCCTATACGCACAATAAATATTTCACGCACTACGAAATAAAATACATTTACTCTCTGTAACTTTTATTTAAAAAAATATAAAAAACTTTGTAAAAATATCGGACACGTTTCAGTGTATCGCAAATAACGACCCGCATTGACATCTCCGTGTCGGTATACATCGTCGAAAACTATATTATGGCTTGGAAGTTCAATACCTGACACACAGTTTTGTGGTAGTTGAGCATATAACATCGCAGATTTGTGGATAGGAGATACTCATCTCGTCCCACGTCGTCAGCTTGCTGACGAAAGTCATTGTAGGGTGAGACGTGCGCACGTGCGATCGATAGAGTGAATGCATTCGCTGATCTGGAAATGTTTAAGTGACTTCCGACTCCATGCTCGTCTTTAGCCCGATTTTATTCGCGATCGACATGTGCAGTAAACGGCGCCTACGTTTTAAGTCGCGATTGATTCCAGGAACTGATGTAGGAAGACTGTAAAATTGGAGCCAGCAAAGCTAACAATCAGCAGGTGCATTTCGCGCTACTAAATTCTCGCTTTTCCGTTATTCTTGAAAATTCTAGGAAAACGTAAAAAATTATTATTAAGAATTATTCCCGTTTCGAAAATTACAAGAAAGAGTAGCATTAGCCTACATCCTCTGATTTTATTTTTTTTTAATTATTATATTATATAACTTTATCGTATAGATTACACAAAATAATTTATTTATATCTAATTTTTTATTGATATCAATATATCAAATATTATTTATGTTTGTACATATATTAATTTAAATTTCCTACATATTATTTTTCGAATTATTGAGAAAATTATTTCCACGTAAATCAATTAAATTAAACATTATTATAAAATCTATAAATCCGATCGACTTGTTGCAAATTACAACTGGGTGTAAGAATTGTATACTGTTGAGGAGCGACATATGCGATTTGCAGTAGGTGGCTTACCAGAGATACGATATGCCGATTTATATTCATCGATAAATCGCGGTGCGGCTACGAATAAGGGAAGGTAATCTGTCGAAGAAACGATTCTAGGGGATTATTCGCATTATTTATTATTTATCAAGATACTCTTGAAATAAATGACAATAAATAACACTCTAACCATCGTGGAAGCTTTAAGTCTTGTCATTACGCATTGTGTTGTATTTGCATTCCAACAGATTTGTTTATGTACTATTCATGAATATATCCCACTTTATCTTCTTATATACGTGTAGGTACATAGATGAAATATAGCAGAGGATATATATATATTTTTTTTTTATTTATGTATAGAAATAGACGTGTAATAGATTTATATTAAAAAAATAATTTATTCATTTTATTAGATTAAAAGATATTTTTAAGAAACTGATCACAGCTTTAATTTTGTTCATTTGATTTGAACTTCTGAAATACAGATGATATTTATAAAACTTAGATGATCCTGGGATTATTTATAAGCGGAAGCATTAACGATTCTAGATTTAACGACTTAATACTGAGAGAAAAAATAATTATGAATAGATTTTACGACGGAATAAATGTCGGAAGCAGTCGGGCTAAAAATATTCCGACTACTTCTTCTCGGGCAAGTAGAGCATATATAGCGTCGGCGGTCATTGCGAGACGTTTATCGCTCCACGGGTTAATACAAGAGGCTAACGTTAACGAATCGACAGGATTTACGAAACATATGTGGCTTCGTCGGGCCGATCGTATTTCTTCCCTCATGCGACCGAGGGACGCACGCGGCCGAAAGTACCTACCTACCTTCTCGTACTTCATGATAAATCGCGATCATGTAAGACGATAAATCTCGCTATAGCTCGGCTACTCCGTATTTGTCTCCGGCCTTTTATAGTATATTAATAAGCGATAATATATTGGCGTACGAAGATCGGCGTGGAGAAAGAAACTACTCACGGAATATTACGTTTAATTTTTCAGTCATACCGTTATTTCATCTTGAGTCAGCAGCGCCATTTTGTTATTAATGACGAATTTTGTGAGAATTTTCGAGCCTTTCTTGATTTCTTTCTTGGAAAGATTAATAGCGACATTAATTATTAAGATTGTAATATAAAATGGTTGCTTCCTTTTATAATGCATCCACAGGGATAAATTTTTAAAATAGACAATAAATGTTAAATTATTAATTTAAATATTAATTAAATGTTATATTATAATATATATATATATATATATATAAAGGATCAATTTAATACATTGGTTAACATATGTTGCATTTAAACACGATTCTTAGCATTGCTGAACTTTCTCTTGAGATGATCACTTTCTTATGAATTTATAATCAATCATCATCAATCTTTGGATCGGAATTCTAACTGACATTTGTTAATGACGATGAGAAGTTAAAAAGATCGGGGAATCAGAGGCCGCCGACGTGATACCCAGTTTTCTCATTACACATTGCGCAAGGTCGTTTATTCAATCAATTCTTCAAATATACCACGGTACAAGATGTGCTTTAACATTGTTCTCGTTATTCTTTAATATAATAAAAATGTTATTTCAGAAATTTATTATTAAGAATTTACGCTTAACGGATACCTAGGTATATCATTCAAAAATAAATAATAATTAATAATAAAAAAATTTTACAAGAGTTGAAAGAAAAGTGAGTTAAAAGAAAAAAAAGTTATTTAGATATATTAATGTGAAATATTTTTTGCTAAAATTTAAGGTTATTATAATTTCTATGAATTTTCAAGAATAATTGACAGTTTTCGATAATTTTTTTATTTGAATTTAAAAAAAATTCAATTGGTTTGGGCAATGCTGGCATTGTAATTTAGATTTATGCGATGCGGTGTATCATTTGATTATCATCTAATAAGTATTGTTTGAGGGAAGGGTCTCGATTATTAAAAGAGGAAGTTGGCCACTTTGCTAGCCGCGGATATGCATTTACGACGAAGTAATTACGAGTTTCCCCGTCACTCCCTTGCGGTCGTGTTGTGACTGTTTCTTCACCGCAGACGATGTGAGCGATGACAAGGAGTCGCGAGACCCAGTGGGAGGTCTCAACAATGGCCATCCGCCTCCGAGTCGAGTGCGCCGCTACCTGGAGATTCTCGGCTCGTGGCGAGGCTAGTGGTGGCTTGCAAACGCAATTAAAATTTGTTCATTTGCGTCCGAGCTTTTTAGTTTTTCAGATCACGAACCGCTAAGTAAAGTTTCCTCAAAAATAGATGAATGGATGAGCTAAAATGTCACTTTAATAATTTCGAATTATATCGCTAGCTAATGTTAGACTATTATAAATTATTAGAACTTTATAGACTTCCTGAATTCGTGGAACTTTATTAAGCAGACATTTTCTTAAGAAATGATTGAATATATATTGTTCATCTAATTAGATCTTTTAAATTCTTGTTCATAAATCTGTTTTGCTGAAATGATATCATTGTAAAAATACACAATAATAAATAATCAATTCTGCATCCCGTTAATTTATCTTATTAAGAAAATTGTCTTTTTATCATGTTAAACTATTCATGCTAATAGCAAGTTAGATACAAACCTCTTGAAAAGTCACGTTGCTAATTAAGTTAAATTGAAATAATTAGATGAAATTTTGATTGTTCGCTTCGATATTAGCTCAGGCCTTTTCGTCGGACCCGAACGAAATCCCACTGAACTGCGCGCCATCCCGACAGTTGAGCCTTTACTCTGGAAGTGAGACAGACCTCCGTACTGATCGTAGGTGGTCCTCGCCGTCGGACGCAACGATTTTAAATTAAAATTAAAGTCAAGCGTTCTTATGGTCCATGTGCTCGACATCACCACCACCCGCGTAACAATGTTAATAGCTCCGCGTCGCCGAAATTGCGAGTCCTTCTTCCTATAAGTGGAGCCGCAGAAGCGCGAATGTATCGTATTATGTCACCGCGAGGTTTTTATCAACACGTTATTTTAATATTGTATATGTTATTATCATGAGAAAGGATTTATATAAAAAGTGCGCGATGCTTGTGATATTCTATTTACTATATCAAGGTTGATGATTCAATATTTCAACAGTCGCGTTGAATATTAGAGGCTGGTAGAGATATTTCTATTTTTTGTACACTGAAAACAAATTTATTTAATTCTTATAAGTGTTTATTTTAATACTGCCAAATAAATCATTTATTTGAAACTAATAATATTTATTTAACGTATAAGACGGGCAACAAGAGCCAAATCGCGGATGACAATGCGTTATCCTAATGAAACTAAATAATTTTTCGTTAGAATTAAATACCGGTGCACAAGGCACCAAATTTTTACTTGGACACGGCCAAGATTTTAAAATATGAAATAATCTCATATTTTTGAGATTTAATTTCAATACCCCTTTAACCCCCCTACGGAAAATAAATAAATGAATGCAAGAGAAAAATATAGATCCGAAAATCGCTGAATCGGGAACCGCCTTGTGCACCGGTATTTAATTCTAACGAAAAATTATTTAGTTTCGTTAGGATAACGCATTGTCATCCGCGATTTGGCTCTTGTTGCCCGTCTTATACGTTAAATTTATATTTATATTACAGAGCCTTGTTAAAACTCTTATATTTAATAATATTTATTTGATATAAAAACCATTTATTTGATATAAGAAAATCCTTTTCAAAACAAATAAATATTTATTTGTTTTAAATAAATAATTCATTTGGCAGTATTGAACTTAAATATATATTAATTTAGTTATTTTTTCTGTATATTTTTTTAGTGTATAATTCCGTAAAGATTATTTTAGGATATGTAACAAATAAATTTTATACCGCTATCTAATGCTTACAATTTTTCAAAATATCTTTATTGCATTTCAAATATAAATTACATTAAGGCAGTAATGTACTAATAATATAATTTTATAATTATTTAGAAGTAAATGACTATATAACATTAATTTATTAGATATGAAGAAAGAGAGAATATTTAATTTATTATGCAACTTTCCATTCATTAAATATTATATAAATATATTGAATATACATATAGTGAATTATTGCAGCATTTAATAAAAGAAAATTTGAATTGTATTGAACTCGCCAATGCATTTAAAGACAAACCGTTTTGCTCATAAAAAACAAATATTGCATTTCGAAGTTTACACGAACGTTTGTTTTCAAATATATATTATTCACATTTTTCTGCACTGATTCATGACGGCTGTTGCCATTGGTGAATGTCATTGTCGTTCCACTTCTTAACTCAACTTACAGGGTTTGTCCGGAAAGTAATGCGTCGCATTTTTTTAAAAAAGAATTTATTGATCGCATAGGTAAAACAACTTAAAATTGTTCGAAGTATGACCCTTCTGCGTCAATACATTTTTGCCAACGCGATTTCCATGCGTCATAAGATTTCTGGAACTCCTTGACTGGGATGCTGTTCAGGGAGGCCGTCGAAGTAGCTTGTACGTTGTCAACCGACTCGAGCTGTTGTCCTTTGAGCTCCCTTTTCAGCCGAGGAAATAAAAAAAAGTCCGCCGGAAATTGGGATTATCTGCACAGAGTTGCTTGAGTTCTTCACAAACTTCCACTCGGTGTTGCTTTTGCGCATCGGTCAACACTCTGGGCACAAGTTTTGCGCAAATCTTCCGCATGGCCAAGTCTTCCGATACAATCTCGTGAACAATCGTTTTCGGCAAGTTCAATAATTCCGACATTAAGCGAACATTCATTCGACGGTCTGAATTCAATAATTGGCGCACACGAGTCACATTGTCGTCCGTTCGCGATGTTGACGGGCGTCCTGCGCGGGCCTCGTCGGCGACCTCCTTCCGACCTTCTCTAAACATCTTGTGCCATCTGTTTGACTGCGATTTGGAAAGGCAATCGTCCCCGAAAACTTTCTTGAGCATTTCAAAAGTTTCCAGCGGCGTCTTGTCCAGCTTCACGCAAAACTTTATCGCATAGCGTTGCTCTATCGTTCTCTCCATCACAAGTTCGACGCGACCACTAAGCAGAGGTTCACAGAATAAGCCGTCCTAACCCTCCAAGCGCATGGAAACAATTGAGCGACCTACCGTTGGAAAGCTAAGGGTACCCTCCTTCCTCCCCAACCGGTCCCATCGCTCTGCGATGTATAGTCGCGTCACAAAAAAATGCGACGCATTACTTTCCGGACAAACCCCGGTTTGTATGCGATTGCGCCTCTTGCATATATTCACATAGAAGTCCAAGCCCGTGTCCGAGCTTCAATTTTTGCTCATTGTTTTCCGACACATATACATACATACACATATACAGTAAAGTGAGAGTGCTTTACGAGAGGGCGTGCGTCCTCCCTCGCTGGACTGCGCATAATTGCCTTCGTGTTTTTCGGAGTGTTATAATGTTTGTATGCGCGCTGTAAAGTCATACCACTATTTCATAATTAGCAAGAAAATTATTGTATGTATTCCGAATGTCCGTGACCGTCGATAAAAAATGAGCGACGTCGCGTCATTATTATTTCATTAAGTGCAGCGGTTGTTTCAGAACGTGACAATTTTTTTGATTGTTTTCGAATAGAAGAATCGAGAATAAAAAATATTAAGAGAATGAGAAAATTGAGGAAAAAATAGAGACAGCTAAAATAAAAGAATTAGGTAAAGAATTTACAGTTGAAGAAATAAAAGCTTATTTGATATAGAAATATTGAAATCTTTCTCTCTCGCCACGTTGTTATATACCAATTAAGAGATTAATTCATATTAAAACCAATCCAGTTGTTTTTGGTGGTTGTTTCTGCTATAAATAATATTCCTCTTACGTTTTATTCCAGTTACGTTATTTGCGTTTATTTTAATTTTATAAGCCGTAAATACCTTTGATACGAACATCGAGCCTTTGTTTTATCGTCGTCATTGAGCTTCAAGCGTAGAACTTGGTTCATGTATCAAAGAGATTCGAGAATACCTCTAATTGGCAATTAATTTAATAAGCTCGAATAATCATCGACTTGAATTTAACAACAAGGGATATTTTTCGATAAAACGAACAGAAAAATTGTGAGCGTGATAATTTTCGATACATTCCGAGGCTAGTTAGTTTGCTTGTTTGTATTGCATCGAAAATTAAAATCTTAAAAAAAAACAAGATTTATAAATGAAAATATTTTTAAAGTCTTATATATTCATATATCTTACCATATTCTTGTAAAAGATGACATTATATTTTATTTTTTGATGCCATATAGAAAATCAATAAACAAAAGCTAATTGTAAGTGGAAACAATGAGCGAGAAATAAGCAGAGATACGTAATTAATTTCGCGAATTATCCAAATCCCATGTCATGTATTTCATATGCGCATAAGTCACGCATTTTACGGATAAGTGCGGATCCTAATTTTCGTGCCACCCTTATCCCGCGCATTCGGCGCCGTAAAAATTCCGGTCTAACTTAGCCAGCCTGGAAGAGACTCGCGCGGCCGATGAATTATCTCCTCGGTGGTCTACTGATTTTATTTTGATGAATTTCGAGAGAGGGGTGCCCGCGGCCATGGGGCATTAGTCACGGTATAATTGGCGGTGGGAGGGCGACGTGCACGCCAACCTGCCGTCAAAGAATTCCTGGTGCGGGAATTCCGCCCGATGAGACTTTGCGTTATACTACGTTCCTCGTGATTAATTGATAAATCGATCAAATTGCGCGCTTAATCGCATCACATTATAAGCCTGTGAATTTTATAATCGTTTCACTTTATTTCAATTTTGCATCGTGAACTTATTTAGTTGAATTATTTTTATTTGAACTTTTGAATTTTTATTCTCTTGCAATTCTCTAATTGTATTTCATTATTCAAGCCAGCGTTCATATACAGGTATGTATAAGTTTTGCTTTTGCTATTTTAAACACACTTAATAATTTATTTAGTATTCTATTTTTCATTCTCTTTTTTTCTATGTTTTAAGACAGATAAATATGTTTTTGATATACACATTTTATGTAATATTTGATAGACTTTGTGACAGTTATAAATTTCGGTGAGATAGCGTTAATTTCGGTGATGCTTTTTGAAGATTGCAAAAAGTTTTTAGGCTGATGATTCGTAACATGACACTGATCCTGGAGAAAATGTCGACGATACTTATCGTTGCTAAAATTCCGAGGCGCGTATTTCTCATAAAAACTGCACCGATAAAGATCCACAGATCCCGTTTTAACTGCTGCCGCGAATTCGGCCAATGCCGAATTTCAAGACCATTTCTGCTCGTAATTGCAAAAGTGCAACGCGTCAATTTTTGTCATTTTTAATGACCGGATTGAATATTAAGAAGAGTAAAAAAATCTTGTACTTTGAACAATGTGGCATAATCAATGTGTACATCAAACGTGTACAACAAACGTTCACAATTACAAATGAAATGCATATAAAATCGATGATAAAATATATCAACAGAAAGTCAACTATATATTAATATATATTAATTGCTCTAATTTAGCAGATTTACATATAGCGATCCTCTATGAAATGTGAGTACGTTGAAAGAGAGACGTTCCGTGAGTCAAAGTATAATTTACTGTTATGATGCGCGACGTGACGCAAGTGTGATGCGTGCGAATTTAATTAGCATATAATTATCAAATGTCGAAGGTATAAGCCGTCCCATGTAAAGGATGTAGAATCCTGGCAGAAATACGATTCCCGGAGGCAATAATCTGTCCTGTAAATCACGTTGTATGACTATCGCGGATTATTCGATCCGCATACGAGGATAATGCGCAGTACGATAATACGCATACGTTATTACTTCCTCTTCCCTCCCGCGAGATAATTGCGCGAGAATATTTTCAGATGACGTGACAAATGATTTTTTGAAATCTCTTATGCGTTAATTCTTTCGATTTACTCAACATTTAGTTTATGTTAATGGAAAATGCATGTCTGAGAAAAAAAGTTTATTTTTTAAGTAGTTATTAGATAGATTATTAAATTTAATATGTAAAATTGTCAATTTTTTATTAACTTTCTTTTGATATTTTATCTACTGATTTTTTGTGTCATTTGACTAATCAAATCGTATTGTATATGTATTAGAAATATAATTGACCATCGTACAAAATTATATTGCATATTTTACATC